AGAGAGAGAGAGATAGACAGACAGACTCTCCTGATCCATTTGTACCTTTTCTCCTGGTACTTCATGAAAAAAAAATAGTAGCGATATATAAAATGTACTGATTTCATCAATAAGCAGAAATCCCCCTGAAGTCCTAAAATGAAATGAAGGAGATGGAACTCATTCACACCCTGAAAGTCCATTGCCAAGTTCCCTTAAAAACCAGTGCTGGGTTAGCTTTTTCTAAAGCTGAAGTGGAACATTCTAAGTTGGGTGGGCTCATTAGTGTCCTACTCTTTCTTGCACTTAAAAAAAAAAAAAAAAAGTAGCCATCTAAGATACAACTGTTGGGCTCTGTTCCTCTGGAGCCAAAAAGAATGAAGAAAATCCAAGAATTGGAGAAGGAACCAGAATATATGGCTAATTGTCTCCATGAACTGTGGCCTCCTCTACCTTGTGACCAGAGAGAACTAGATGGTGCCCGGCTACCACTGCCCAGTGTTCTGATCAGGGGCACAATGAATGGATCCTGATAGAAAGGGAGAGAAACATGGAACAGAATTTTAAATTCTCAAAATCCAGATTTACTGGACCCATTGACACTAGAGGAATCCCAAGACTATTGTCCTGAGACCTCTTTAAACCTTAAACAGAAGCTATCTCCTGAAATCACCTTTTAACTAAATAGCAGATTACCTCAAAAGGTAAAGAATTCCACCCTTGAGAACTGCGTTCTTTTAAAAAGTATCTGTATGAGACCAAATAGACAACAGTTACTCTAAAGCATAAATAAGAAGTTTAGGGGGCAGTGAGACTAAATTAATGAGAATGGAACCATTAGAACGGAAATAATGAGAATGTTGACAGAAACTGAAGAATGTAACCAATGTCACTGAGTATTATGTGTAGAATTTGTTGAATGGGAACCTGTTTTGCTGTGTATACTTTCACCAAAAATACAATAAAATAAAATAAAGAAATAAGGGCCTGGGCAGTCATGAAGCCCAGTGACCTACATCCCCTTAACCTATCCCTGCAAGCGTGTCTGCATGTATATGGGCCCATGGGTTCCAACTGGACGGAATTCACATTTGTAATTCTTTAACTGGAATCTCATTACCACCTCCTAATCAAGCAAATCTTTAATTATCAGCCGATAACCGTGTTCGTATCATTTAGTTCTGTGCCATTATCAGCATAGACTGTCTCTAAGATTGTAGAATTATTATTATTTTAGAGATATAAGTTATTCTCATCATGGCCCCTGTACAAGGCTAAAGCTGGCCTAGGACCAGAATTCTAAAAATCTTTGTATATGTTTTAGTCATTAATAAGTACAGAATCTAAAAAAAAAAAAAAAAAAATAATGCACAGGTATAAGCTCCGAAAGGCAAGAACCTAAGCAGTGGATTCGAGGTGGGGGACTTGTCCCAGTGGGTTCCTGGGGGAGCTTTGAGCCCGGCATTGACGTCAGTTCTGGTGAGACGCCATAGGGGGTGGGAACCGTGGATGCAGGAATGCGGTCTACAGAGCCCAGAATGGAGAGCAAGAGCAGCGTGAACTTTTACGTAAGAAACACAAAGGTTTTATATAGACATCAGGATCTGAGAGCGTGCGTGCTTCAGTTCTAGCGAGGTTTTGAAGTCCCCAACAGAGTTCGGCACAGGCAGGTGAGAGGGATGAAGGTCCTACACCATCCCCGTTGTGATATTGTCAAGAAGCATAATCAAAAGCTTAGGAAAGGATTAAAAACATGAGTACAAATGGGTGGGTGAGAAATAATACCTTGTAAATTCTGGCAAATTAGAGTTGAAAACGAAGGATCCAGCCCCTGCCTTTGATAGATTTTCTTTGCTACATTGCTCTGGGTTGTCAGCTGAGCATCTCCTCATTACTAAACCGCGTCAGATGAACTGGAGGGCATTCATGTCTCAGATGCAGCCAGATATGAAGATCTGGGTGCCTTTTTCTAAACATGCCCCCTCCTTACACTCTACATTTACGTGTCATTTCTTCTCAGAGAGATCAAGCTTGGAAGCAATTCCTTTTTTCCTAATGAAATTAGCCAGCTCATTTTATCTTATTAGATAAGTGTATGTCTTTATAATAGTGATATTCGCTAGTTACCTCAGATTCTAGAGTTCTAACATAGATTTTCAGGTGTTAAATTTCACATTGAAAATTCCCATGCTTGTTAAGTGACTTCTCTGTACCTTTCTGGTGCTTTCCGTATGATAGAGATTTTAAAGTGTTTGCAGAAATGGGTACAGTAAGAAATGTCATTGTGATTGAAATGGTTATGTGCAGACAGAAGATATTTTACAAGAGTATGTAGAAATAGCCCACTGGTTGTAATCCAATAAATGATCCTTTTCTGTTGCTGTTTATGAACAATGTGCTTTTTAAAGTGGCAACCACTTTTCTTTCTGCCTGTCTAGAACAGTACGTCCAACAGAACTTCCTGCAATGGTGAAAATGTTCTATATCTGCGCTTTCTGGTACAGTAACACTAGCTACGTATGGCTCTTGAGTACTCACTCTGTGGCAGGTACAAAGGGGAAAGTGTATTTTTCATTTTATTTTATTGTAAGTGAATTTGCTTTGCATTAACATACACATGGCTAGTGGCTACCGCATTGTCTGTTTAGGTCTAAAACGCCATGTTGTCTTCTTATGAAAAGTGGCTCCTCCCGGGGTTGTGCACAGCTTCCGGTCATATTGATTCCCAAATTTGGGATCTTTAAAAAAATTTTTTTGCCTCAAATGAGATTACACTGGTTGAGATGCCAATGGCCAATGCATCTCATGTGCAGCTAGCACCTGTCTGTCCGTGGAGACTTGCGTGTTGCTATGATGCTGAACAGGTTTCAGTGGAGCTTCCAGACTAAAGTGGATTAGGAAGAAAGACCTGGTGATCTTCCATAAATCAGCCAATTAAAACAGTAGTCCAATCTGCAACCCATCATGGGATGGCAAAGGACCAGGCAGTGTTTTGTTCCATTGTGCATGAGGTTGCCGGCAAATGAGTCAAGGGCCAACTGGACAGCAGCAAACAAGAGGAAGATACTATGTCTTTGAACAGTCTTTGTTTTAACTGACGATTGTTGAGTTTTAAGCGATAAAAGAAACTCTACTTTTGTCATTTAAAAGTCAGGATAATTTTTTTTTTGTTTTCACGAGTGAGAAGACTTTTTTTAAAAAATACTTTATTGTGTTTAAGGTAAAAGTTTACACAGCAAATTAGGTTCCCATTTAACAATTTCTATATAAATTATTTAGTGATACTGGTTACATTTTTCACAATGCGTCGTTATTCTCATTCATTCCGTTCTGGTTGTACCATTTCCAGTACTCTAGTTTCCCTGCCTCGTTCCTTCCCTTCTCATCTTCGATTTAGATTAATTTCTGACCGTTTGGTCAGCTCTAGATGATTTTTCTTAAACAAACTCATTGCTCATGGGTGGTATTCTTTATTTTATCAGCTACTCTGTCCTGGAGTTGTTGTTTAGTAAACCTGGCAGCCCTAGCAATGGCGTCCTTTCTGCTGTGTTTAGATTTGATGCTTATATCGGCCAGATTGAGTTAACTGGCTGATTCTGTTACCTAGTTTTGTCTAAACCAACTTTCCAAAAACACTCCTACTTTATCAGCACTATTTTCAAGCCCTGGGGACACCACACAAGCCTGAACCCAGGCTCCAGGACACCTTGCAGCTCTCAGACTTGCAGCTCTTTGGAATCTGGAGACGGTGAGGTAAAGGTGTGTGGGCTGCTTTGTTAGCGAGTGAGACACCACGTGCAACAGAGACCAGCCATTCCAGCTGAGGTCTCCTAGACCAGCCTGACAGCCGCCATCCACGTGAGCAAGGCCAGCCTAGATCCTACAGCAGCCAGCTGGTCTACCAGCTGACCACAAACGCGTGAGAACACCCAGGAGATCCAACCAGCAGACTCAACCTAGAAGAATAGGACCTAAAAAAAAAAATGGTTGTTGCTTAAAGCCACTAAATTGTGTAATTCATTACATAGCCAAAGGGAACTGATATCCTGTGTGAAGATATTATGGCTTGCCAGACCGTGCACTGGACAAAAACAAAAGAAAACAATTTATTTTGCCAGACCTGTTTTCAGAGGCCTTGAGCTGTGACGAAGAAAAAAAAAACTATATAACTGCTTCAAATTGTTTGTTTTCAGCTCCTCAGAATCCCTTCAATTCTTTTTCTTCTAAATTGTATTTATTTTGTTGTTGCTGAGCATATACACAGCAAAAAATACACCGATTCAATAGTTTCTACGTGTACAATGTAGGGACATTGTTTACATTCTTGAAGTCATACAACATGCACACTCTCCTTTTTTGAATTGTTCCTCCCGCATTAACATAAACTTATTGTCCCTTAAGGTTCCTATCTAATGTTTCACATTGTTGTCAATTTGATCCCATATAGATAGTTCTTGAAAGAGCATAGTGCTCAGGGAAGGCCTTTTTTACTAGTTAAGCTAAACCATGGTTTAGTTTTAAGAAAACATCAGAGAATATTTTTGGTTTAAGATTTAAAGATTATCTCAAGGCAATAGTTCAGGGGCTCATCCAGCCTCCATGCCTCCAAAAGTCTAGAGTCCATGATTATTTGAAATTCTGTTCTGCATTTTCTCCCTTTTGGTCAGGATTCTTGTATGGAATCTTTGATCAAAATGTTCAGTAATGGCAGCCAGGCACCATCTAATTCTTGTGGTCTCATGGCAAAGGAGGCAGTTATTCATGGAGGCAATTAGCCACACATTCCATGTCCTCCCCTATTCCTGACTCTCCTTCTTCCTTTGTTGCTCCAGGCAAATAGAGACCAATTACTGTGCCTTGGATGGCCATTTGCAAGCCTTTAAGACCCCGGGCACTACACAGCAAACTAGGAGGTAGAACAGAAACACTAAACATGTTATTAGACCAATTAACTGGGATGTCCCATGAAACCATTACCCTAACCCTCCACACCGAGGAACCAAATCCCATGAGGTATTTGGTTGTATATAAGCACCTCAGCAGCTACTCTTTCTTTGTTGTTGTTGTTGTAAATACACCTATCACACAACGTTTGCCAATTCAGCTTTTTACAGGTATTCAACTTACCGACAGCAGTTACAACAATTGGCTGTGCAACCCTACCCTTCATCAGTGTAATTTTTCCATCACCATTTACCCCCTTTTCTCACTCCCTCCCACCCCTGCATACCACTAATAAACTTTGGTCTCTATACATTTGCCTTTTCTTGTCTTTTTATAGAAATGAAGTCATGCGCTATTTGTCCTTTTGTGATTGGCTTATTTCCCTTAACATAATGTCTTCAAGCTCCATCCATACTGTAGCATGTATCAAGACTTCGTTTTTCCTACAGGCTGGTAGTATTCCACTGTATGTATGTGCCACATTTTTTTACCCATTCATCTATTGATGGGCGTTTAGGTTGTTTCTACCTTCTGGCTGTTGTGAATAGAGCTGCAGTGAACGTTGGTGTACAAGTCTCTTTTTGAGTCTCTGCTTTCAAGTCTTCGGGGTATATACCTAGGAGTGGAATTGCTGGGTCTTATGGTAGTTCTATTTTTAATTTTTTGAGGAACCACCACACTGTTTTCCACAAAGGCTGCACCATTTTGCATTCCCACCAGCAATGGGTAACGGTTCCAATTTCCCACATCCTGGCCAATATTTGTTATTTTCTGTGTTCTTTTTTTCAGTCATGATAATTTTCAAAGTATAGGACATTTAACAATTAGAATAGCAAAGAAAGTAAGAAAAAAAAAAAAAAGTAAAGAAAGGCTTTGCATTTTATGTGAATTTATGGTTCTAATCCAAACAGTCGGGTCCACTTTGATGTGTGTGACTCCAGTTGCAGAACTGTGCGTTTTGAATGTGTATGTGTCATCTTCTGTGGAATGGGTTTCTAAAACAGTGCTATGGTTTGATTTTTCAGAATTTCTACAAAGAAATTGAAAGAGAAGAAATGTATATAAGGTGCGTGTACCCACCTTGCTTGTCTGCACTGTCTGCATTTTTATTGTAATTGCTGCTGTGTAACCCTGGGGCTTCATGGTGTGGAAAATCAGAGTCCTGGAGAGGAGTTTGGTGGAGCCTCCAGATCCGTCCTCAGCCCTCGTATTGTTTGTCCACACAGATGCAGAGATTCATCCGGGGGGTGGGGGGGTCCACAACTGGCCAGCCCAGAAGCATAGACCTTAATGATGACGTCACAGGGTCTGTGTACCTCTTGATCAACTCGTATGTCCCCTTTGGGAAGAAAAAAGGCAGTACTACAAATTTTAATGTTTCACAGTAAGCCACAAGATCAAATGAGAAAGCGACTTTTTAAAACTTACCAGAAATAGATAGTGCCATCAAGTCACCTCCGACTCCTAGCAACCTTATGTCAACAGAACAAAACATTGCCTTGTCCTGCATCATCTCCCAGTCGCCAGCAGGTTCAAGTCCATCCTTGTGGCTGTTGTGCTAATTTATCTCACTGAGGGTCTTCCTCACCCTCGCTGGCTCTCCACTTCATCTAACACAATGTCTTCCTCCAGTGATTGATCCCTATTGATGACATGCCCAAAGCAAGTGAGTTGGACAGTATTCTTTTGGGACCCATAAGGTTTTCCTTGGCTAATTTTCAAAAGTAGATCACCAGGCCTTTCTTCCTAGTCTGTCTTTGTCTGGAAGCTCTGCTGAAACCTGTCCACCATGGGTTATCCTGCTGGTATTTGAAATACCGGTGGCATAGCTTCCACCATCCCAACAACTGCAAGCCACCACCGTACGACAAGCTGACAGACGAGTGGTGGTTACTACAAATGAGCAACATATAATTTTTCAGTCTGTTGTTACTTGAGCTGACACCATATTCCTATGTTTTCTATGTCTTTCTCCCACATTACAAGAAACCTCTTTTGTATTCTCTGCTGGATTTTACACCCCCACTTGCCTCTTTCTCTCAGGGGATGGGCTATGATTGAGCCCCTCCCTTCTTGGTCATTCCTGCGATCCAGTGTCAAACGTTTAGCTAGATTACCACTTAGAAGAATAGGATAAGGATACGCCCACATGGCATTGGGTTTTAATGATGCGCTTATTACATCAAAAGTAACTTTCTAATTTTGTTTTTCATTTCTAAGATTTTCTACTTTCACCTTTCAAAAATGCCATATCAATTTAAGAAACTTCTGAGGAACAATCAGTTGGCTTCTTTCATCCAAAATGTAGGTTGCTTTATTCCTTCATGACAGAGAAATTCTTTTGATCACATTCACTGTGATCAGTGGAGTTCTTTATTCTTATGGATTTTATTTTTATGGATTTTTTTGTGGTGCATATTCCATTATATTTCTCAAAAATTTTAGTGTAGTAAAATATCTATAACCTAAAATTCACCATTTTTAAGTGCACATATGGGTTTTTTTTTTTTTTTTGCAGTTGGAGGCAATAGAAATGTAGGAAATCACAAGCAAATGTTGTACGATCTTATTTCAAGTACTTGAGGAAAAATCTGGAGAAGATGAGAAGGAATGAGGAAACTTGGAATAAAATTCTTCCTTCTTACATCAGCTTCATTTTTTTCCTGAAAATAAAGGAGTTAAATTAAAAAAAATCATTATCATATATTACTATTGTTGCTTTTCAAGGCATGATGAGTTATGAACGGTGCTAAAAAGAACATATAGCTATGATTTACTACTGCAGGTAGACTAGCTCTTGCAATCCTCAACACAAATTATTTTGTGACATTTTAAGCACTTACCTCTATTTTATTGTCTTAGGTATTTGTACAAGTTGTGTGACCTACACAAAGAGTGTGACAACTACACGGAAGCGGCTTACACCTTGCTTCTCCATGCAAAGCTTCTTAAGGTAACTAAGATCATTGTGCAGTTTGATGTCCTGTTATTATATATTCTGAGATTATTTACATTTTCACTTTTCCATAACAAATCTTAGTAAACCTACAACTGACTTGATGGATGTTGACTAAACGCAGTGATGTAAACAAATGCATTTAGGAAGCACTTTGATTATAGACTCAGCCCCTCCGAATTCAGATTTGACAAGATGTCACAGCCAGGTATCACTAAGCATCATAAACACCAATCATGGAGCTGTCAGCTCAAAGGGAGTTAGAGAGACTGCAATTCCTTTTTCATGCCGACCAGCCTCGGTAACGTTGGAAAATGACAGCAATAAGAAGGAGTTTGCGTGGCAGATGGGCTCAGAGATAAGATGAGGCATACCCCTAATTATCTTAGCAAAGAGTGTAGGGACCAGATCCTGACTGTTTCTCCATCGGTTCACCTTGAGACCTCCTGCTGGTGTTCTCTGCCTGATCCTCCTGGACAACGTTGCTCCTGAGCACAGGTCTGGCATGTCCACTCTTAGCTCCCAGGGGCTCCTTTGTGAAGCAGATGGCTTTAGTCATTGATTTTATATTGTCAGCGACATGTTCATGCTCTCTCCATGTCTAGTGCCAACATGGTTAGTCATACAGACTGACCTCTCAGTAAGTAACTGGATGGGTGGATGGATGTGAGTGGGTAGATGATTGGATGGATGGATGGGTGGGTGGGTGGATGGATGGATGGATGGACGGACGGACAGGTGGATATATGGGTGTTTGGCTGTGTTGGTGGGTGGATGGATGGATGAATGGACAGACAGATGGATAGATGGAAGAATTGCTACACAATGTCTAGTTTTAAATTTTAGAACATCAACAAGTCATTGGATTATCTCTCATGATATTCTTATAAATAAATTGAACTGGATAAACTAGAACAGTCATGAGAATCACATTTAGTTGAGCAAACCTACATAAAGACTGCTCATTCAGGGAATCAGATTTCCAAATCCAAACCAGCACCCAAAACACTAAATGGAAAGAAAAGCAGACCAAATTACATTAAAAGGGGCACTAAGCAATGCCCAATCATGAAGATGGTGCAGGACCAGGCAACACATACATGAGGTCACTAGGAGTCAGAGCCCACTCAACAGCAGCTAACAGCAAATAACAGCAATCGGGTGTTAGGAGTGTTAGGATCCCTTGTTATTATTGTTAGGTGTCGTCGAGTTGGTTCCGACTCATGGCGGCTCTGTGTATAACAGAACAAAACACTGCCCGGTCCTGCGCCGTCCTCACAATTTTTGTTATGCTTGAGCCGATTGTTGCAACCACTGTGTCAGTCCATCTCGTTGAGGGTCTTCCTCTTTTTTGGTGACTCTCTGCTTTAACCAAGAATGGTGTCCTCCAGGGACTTATCCCTCCTGATAACATGTCGAAAGGGTGTGAGATGTAGTCTTGCCATCCTTGCTTCTAAGGAGCTTTCTGGGTGGTGCGAGCAGTTAACATGCTCGGCTGCTAACCAAAATGTTGGGGTTTAAGTCTACCTAGAGATGCCTGTGAAGAAAGGCCTGGCGATCCACTTCCAAAAACATCAACCAGTGAAAACCTTACGGAGCACAGTTTTACTCTGACACAAGTGGTGTCCCCACCGTGAGTCAGAATCGACTTGATGGCAAGGGGTTTATTGAGTGATGAGAAAGGTTAAGGAGTACACTGTGTCAGGGAGTGAACCTCGGTAAGAATATTTCAAGCTTTGACCTGAAGTTTCCCATAGTGTCTGACACAAATGTAGACAGGCTGAACTAGAGATACTCGAAAGTGGAAAAGTACCTCTGCCTGGAAACAAAAGAGCCTGTAACAGGGAAATCAGAAGGCTGAGCTCCATCTGGGTGCCTCGTCAATAGTCCTTCTGAGGCTGGCTGCGCGAGGTCCCCCCTGGACTCCCACCAGATAAAGCTCTCCAAAGGCATGTCATTTATGAAGACAGAGGTTTCTGTTGGTGCGTCTGACACCCACCGTCATGCTGTGAATTCGGACGGCCTTCATTTGCTAGAAACCCCAATTTCAGTAACAGGTATTTTTGTAAACATGCAAGTATTTCTTTTACACCAGAGAAATTAAAATGGGGTTGACCAACTGTTTGCCCACGCTTTGTCTCTCCCATAGAATATAAACGTTTATGTGTGCCTGTGTATGTAAAACATATACATGTGTGTAAATGTATCATTTGCATAATCATTGGATTTATGGAGTGCAGATGGGTTTGCCACAAACCACGTGATGGTTTGTTTTACAACCCAAATCAATAGGCCCAATTGCATTATCTTTTCCACCGGGGCTCTGCATTTCCCAGGTAAATGGGGAATGCTACATAGCCTCTCTCCATATCTTTTACGCCGTCACGTCTTGCAATTTTTCCTAAATCTGTTTTGATGTTGCTATAAATGTGAATTCACACCTGTTAATCGACTAACTAAAGAACATGATTTGTATTGTTACGAAAATTCTTTCTTCACTGTGACAAATATGTTCTAGTTCTTTAACTAAGAATCTTTAAATAGAATCTTCTTTTCTGGTGAAGGAAATTTTGTCAAGAAAATAAGAGCAATATAAGCCTCAGTCTTTAGCCCAGCGATCAGTAAATTGAATCTCAGTGAGTAAGTGGAAGCCAGAGGGAAGGTTTATGTCCCCGTTCAGTATTTAAAAGAAACAAGGATTAGTGGTGATTTTAAAACCCAAGAAAGTCGTTTGAATTCTGAGCTTTCTGGTTCTTATTTATTTTATTCTAGTTACATTTCAGAATCATCTAAAATTTTACTTGTATTTCCTCTCCAGTAAAAATAGTGACCTAGCTATGTTGTGGAAACTCCAAAATTGTGACTTCCCATCGTGGTGGGTATACCCATCAACCCATTGCCGTTGACTTGATTCTGACTCATAGCGACCCTATAGGACTGAGTAGAACTGCCCCATAGGCTTTCTGAGGAGCAGCTGGTGGATTCAAACTGCTAAGTTTTGGTTAAGAGCCGAGCTCTTAACCACTGCACCACCAGGGCTCCATGATGGGCATAGGCAAGTCCAATTTAAGGTGGAAAACACTGCAGACTCATTAAAGGTCTCTTACCTCTACCTGGCTTTCCTGGAAGTAGGAGGCCATTCTGGCCCTCAGCTTTGCACCCTGTTCCTTGGAGCCTCAGGGTTCAGTGAGAGGTGCCCCAGGCCCTCCTGGGGACGGGCAGATGGGGAGAGTGTGCTGAGAGGGTGAGCCTATTACAGAGGCCTCGCCATGTTCCCCCTCCCTTAGCCCCCAACTCAGCATGCCAGGCCCTTTGCCCTGTGTGCCACCGTTCCAGGTTTTTCCCCTTTTGTCCAATTTCTCCCATTTGTCATGCCCTCCCTCAGATGTGGTACCACCACTGGTCCCGTTCCTCCAGACACGGCCTGACCAGCTCTGAGTCCAGTGGGGTGTCCCTCTTTACCCCCCATCCTCGTCTGGAGACCCTCCTACGGTCCAGGCGCCTAGGCCGGCTTGCTTTCTCTGCAGCCTCCTCACCATCCTGTCTCAGGACTAAGTCGGGTCCAGCTCCTTCTCCTGAGTTGGTCTGGCTCCTTCTCCTGAGTCCACCTGACAGGCAAGCCCATTCTCGTTATTTCCTCCAGCAAACCTCCTGCAGCCCCCACATCTGAAATCACGCCCCCACCCTTAGATTCCCATGAAGTCTGTCTTGCAGTGGTACTGCCTAGCATTATACTCGATTCTGTACTAGCACTCTCTCTGAAGTCCCTGGAGGTCTTTGAATGATCGTTGACCTAGAGTCTGGCACATAGTGGATCCCTACCAAATAGTTGTTGAATTGTGTTGAACTCTATTCTTAAAGGCTTTGATTTTTGTTGAGTCTAACTCAAGACTTCGGATATTTTACCTGTCACACGAGCTTGCCTTCACTTTGCCATGTCTGCCCAGTTTCCTGAGACCTCACTCCATCTTCAATTCATACAGCAACTCCACCAACATGTCCCCAAACCCTTACTGAGCCCCAGCTCTGTGCCAGGCACTGTGCTTAGGGCTGCAGGTACAAAGACACCTCGCTGCCTTTGAGAAGCTGGAGATGCTGTCAGGAGTTGTTTTCTGCATGACATCTAAATGTGATCCGTGCGCCTTCTTTGCTATTCATCCAGACATTGAGCAACCCAGAACCAAGACAGTCACAGATCACCCGGTTCATAATCCACCCCGGAATTCATTGGGGCGTTCCCAGCCAGCTGACTGTCTGTGCAGTCCAGAATCCTCCGGGTTTCCCTCTGTGGGAATCAGGACCAGGCTTGTCTTTAATTCCTCTTGGGGCCTCCAGACTGAGGTTCTGCCCTCGTGTTTCCTGGCCCCACCAGCCTGATGACAGCAGCTCTGTGTGCCCAGGACCGTGGCTCATTCATGTGCATCCACTGCAGAGTGCATGCTGCAGTCTGAACCCCAAGGTAGGCAAACCCGTCACTGGACATTCTCACCTTGGCACCGCTCACACTTTGCTTTTGCCTCAGTGGTCGGAGGACGTGTGCGCTGCCCACCTGACCCAGCGGGATGGCTACCAGGCGACCACGCAGGGACAGCTGAAGGAGCTGCTGTACCAGGAGATCATCCACTACTTCGACAAAGGCAAGGTAAAAATAACAGTAATGCCACCTTCCTCTGTTTCCCTCTCTCTGTGCACCTACCTACAGTGCCGTAAACATGATCCTGTAACACCTGGTGTTTGTGGGACTAGAAATTTGTTAAAAATTGTGCATTGGAATGTTTTATGCATGCTCCTTCAGCGCGCATTTAAAACTACAGCTGTTTACAAAAGAAACCAATAGCCCTTTTATGGGTGCTCTGCTGAAAGCAAGGACTGAGAAAGCCCAGGGGTTTGTGGTCCCTGCTGGGGCAAGCCAAGCCAGGCTCCCGGTCGGAGGTGTTTCTGGGCACGTATTTGACGGCTAGTGTATATCCATTGTTACCAAAAAATTAATTCAACAGTAGGACAGAGATGGCTCCCCCTTGCCAGCTTCTAGATTAATTGGCTTGTGCAAAATTAGATATTCATTTGGCTTCTACTGAAAGGAAGCCCGCCGTCATTTTAATCAGCCAGCATCAGAGCTCACCACTGTCAGCCTTGGGCTCCGACCGGCAGTCACCTTAACAAGGAGCCGCCTGGGCTCTGCAGGGTCTTAAAAACTGCCACCCAAGTGACTTTGGAGCTGTGGCTGCATCAGGATTCTTATCTTAGTTCACCTACTTTGTATTTCACTTTGAGACAGAACTTTTAACCGGCTCATTCGGGTTCAAACCCCCGCTGAGACTTTGCGTTTGCTTCCCAAGATATACTGAATCAGAATCTGCACTTTCACAAGATCCCCAGGTGATTCTTCTGTATAATAAAGGTTGAGAACTACTGCTCTGCTCGTGGTTCTCAGCCTTGGTCCCTCACCAGCAGCATTAGCATCACCTGGGAGCTTGTTAGAAATGCAAATTCTCAGCAGGGGTTTGAACCAGGAATGAGCTGGTTAGAAGCCCTGGTTTGAGATGAGTGAGGCAGCGGACTCTGTGGCAGCACCTCGCCCAGGCAGGGGAGGTGGCCGTCCCTTCCTGTGGCTGGGGACATGAGCCAGACCCTATGGGAAGCAGTGCCTGTCAGCTGAGTCCCTGGGGTCACGGGGCCCGGGGCCTCCTTGTGTTTGGAGCAAGAGACTGCGTGTGTTTTATCTGTTCCCATTGCCCTTGACTTGGGCAAAAGAATCCCAGCTCCTCACGATATCTTGTGACCAGCTGCGGGCTGCTGGAAATGAGGATTGGAAATGTTCATGGATGATACCCGGTCCTGCAGCAGCACAAAATAGATTTCTCATAGAAATGAGGCACTTTCATGATTAAGGTCAGTTTCTAAGTATTTATTTGCTCGGCCGGGGGAATCTCACTGCTCAGCAAACTGCTAAAGGAATGGAGCAGAGTCAGCTGTCCCTGCCCCAGATGGCCTCAGGGCTTGATTGGATTCCAGAGAAGGGAGAGCAGATGCTATAGGGTGGGTAGAGCCTGAGATGGTGACCCCAGAAAAGCCGGGTAGTTCCAAGGGCTGGAGGTCATCAGGGACTGAAGAAAGGCATGGTTTTGTTACCAAGCCCGGGAAGGTGGGTCCTTGGCTGGCGAGCTCAGACTTGCCAATTATCTGGACACCAGTCTTTGAGAGAGAAAGTAACTTTATTGCAATGCGCAGAGCAAGGAGCCAGGAGGAAGTTCCTCAGATCTGACTCCCCGAGCTACAGGGAAGCAGGGCTTATATATGATTTGGGCAGCAAGATGGCGGCTGCACAGGCGTACTGGGGAGGGAAAATTCTAGAAGGCGGCCAGGAAACAGGAGGTGATGTGGTTCTTGTCGGCCCTCTCACTTTGGAATAGGGTCCGGGTGATGATTTTCCTTCTGATTCGTTCCTTCTGTTGCTGCGTTCTCTGTTGAGGTCAATTAATGGTCACAGCTGGCCCTTCTGAACATACAGGACGAGCCTAGTCTGGGCTTGGGCTGCTTTAAGGACTAATGGAAATTTACTGGCATTTGTAGGATCAGGTTACAGCTTGGTGAGGGAGCTGGAGGCCAGCTACTGCCTCGGGATGGTCATTGCTGGGGTCTTCTGGTGCCAACACGGCCTGACAAGGATCTGGCCCCCGTGGCCTTTCCGACTGCATGTCACCCCCAACCTTTCTCCTTTGCTCAATATTCTAGCCACCCTGCTCCTGTGAGCCCTTGGATGCACTAGCCCCCTCCTGCTTTACCCAGAAGCTTTTGCAGCTCCCTCCCCTGGCTCCTTCCCTCAGTCTCAGCTCACATGTCGCCTCTTCTGCAGCCCCACAAACGTCCTCTTTTTCTTTATAGCACCTCCCACCGTTTGCAATTTGATCTGCATGTTTTTTTCTATAGCATGTGCCCCACTGGGTGGTAAGCTGGATGAATTTCGAGGCCTCTGTGTATTCACCACAGAAATGTACTCTCACAGGTCTGGAGGCTAGAAGTCTGAAGTCAAGGCGTCAGCAGGGCCACGCTCTCTGAAGTCTCTGGGGAAAGATCCTTCCTTGTCTCTTCCAGCTTCTGGTGCACCTGGCGATCCTTGGCATTCCTAGGCTTGGAGATGCATCACTCCAGTCTCGCCTCCGGCTTCCCTTTGTGTCTGTCTCTGCGTCGCTTCTCTTCTACAGGACACCACTCAGGTGCCATTAGACCCACCCTACTCACGTATGACCTTACGTTAATGGATAACATCTTCAAAGACCCTATTTCCAACAAGGTCACATTCACCGTTGCTGGAGTTAGGACTTCAACACATCTTTTTGGGAGGACATAGTTCAACCCGTAACAGTCGTCATCACTCAGATAGTTCCCAAAATTCCTTACACTGGGCATATTTGCATCGTTTGGGTTGGTCTTGGATCCTGACCCAGACCCTGAGCCTCTGGGAGGGCTAAGGAGCCTGCGTGATGCTGTGACTCCCAGCCCTCCCAGCCCCTGGCCCGTGCAGGTACCGGTACGTCACTTCTGCCACATGCCAGGTGTTAGGGTCTTTTGCTCTGATAGAGCAACATGCATGTCTCTTTCATGAGTCTGATGCTGACTTGATTTCAGCGCCACCTCCACCTCAGAGGTCGTAGGTCGGATCAAGACAGATTCTTGCAAGAATACACTTCTGTCTCCATCCTAGGTGTCTGTTAAAGATACCTGTCTCCCAGTCAGATGATGACAGCAGCAGGCTGAGTGAGTGAGCAGGCAGGCAGGTGCACAGGAGGCTGCTGGCATTGACAGAAGTTATTTCACTGATGGCGTGTGCCTCACCAGCTCGAGTCCGAGCGTTTCCCTGCAGCACATGGCATGTCCACTCACAAAGGTTTCTTTGGTTTGATTTTATCCTTATTTCATTTTAGGGAAAAACATTGCAATTCTGGTTCTTCAAACCAAACAATAGTTAAGCTTAATTAATAAAGAATGTCTGCCTTGAGCATTATGCTCTTTTAAGATCTATCTCCATGGGATGAAATTGGCAACAGCAACTCAAAAGATGAGGTAGGAACCTTAGGACACAGTGAGTTTATGTTAACGGAGGAGGAACAACTCAGAAAAGGAGGGTGAGGATGGTTGCACAACTCGAAGAATGTAGTCAGTGTCACTGAATTGTAGAAGCTGTTGAATTGGTGTATGTTTTGCTGTGTATATTTTCAACAACAACAAAATACATAAAATTTTTTTTTAAAATTGCCTTAGGGTAAAGGGACTTAATACCACAGTTGAACTTCAAGATCAGTAATTACTGGGGACCACGAGATTATGAAATTGAAACCAAATGGTGCTTCCATCTGGCAAACCTATGACAAGTAGGGCTCCACGGATCCAGGCTGTTGTCTGGTGGCCCACTTCCTTTCATAATTAAGGGAATGTTCATTGTATACTTACTATGTGAGAAACTGCGGGAAAAGGATATGTGGCGGTCAACTTTGGTAAAGATTTACAGCTTTGGAAACTTCAACTCGGTAGCAGTGAGTTTTGGTTGTATGTGGGAAGCTTATACACTCTAGAGCTAATCCACTGTTTTAAATTTATATAATGTCTCAGGGTTCTCCAGGGAAATAAAACCAGTATATGTATTGGTTCAATCTATAACCGATCATGGGGATGGTGCAGGACTGGACAACATGCCATTCCTTTGTGCGTGGGGTCACCATGAGTCAGGGGCTGACTGGACAGCAGCTAACAGCAATATATATCTATATTGTTAGCAATAGAGATTGATTGTAAGCGCTTGGCTCATGCTATTATGGGATGCTGGCAAGTCCAAAATCCATAGGGCAGTAACAGGCTGGAGACTCCTGCAGGCTTGTGTCCCAGAGGAGCCCTGGTGGCACCGTGGTGAAGAGCTCGGCTGCTAACCAAAAGGTTGGCAGTTCAAATCCACCAGCCACTCCCTGGAAACCCTATAAGGCGGTTCTACTCTGTTCTATAAGATTGCTATGAGTTGGAATTCACTTGGCGGCAGTGGGGTGGGTGTGTCCCAGAATCTGTAAGGCAGGTGATGGGAAGAGTAAAGAGAGAGAGTTCTAGCAAAATGTCTGTTTATAGTCTGGAGGCAGAATATACTCTAGGCAAACTCCCTTTTGGCTCTTAAGGCCTTCAACGGATTGGATGAGCCCACCCACATTAAAGAGGGCCATCTGCTTTACATGAGGCCAACTGACTTCATCGCATGTAACTGCTTCATAACAGCAACTGGACTAGTGTCTGACCGACAGCGGGCACCACAGCCTAGCCCAGTGGACACAGAAAGGCAGCCGTCACTGATAGCTGCATTGGGAGGAAGCAGGGCTTACAGATACCAAGGCAGGCTTGTCTCGGGAAGACTTTAGAGGCTGTTCAGCACCCAGGTGCCCGACCTCAGGCCTCAGGGGAGGCTAGGGAAACAGCGGGGGTCAGGTGATATGAAAGCTCTCTACCTTTGTGCTTGGAGGCTGGCTAAGCTGAGTGGCTTTTCTCCTTCTTTATATTGGACTCTGGCTTTTGAATTGGGTTGTGTTATCTTTCTGTGTTTCTTCCGCACAAAACTCTCCTTCTATTTTCGCTTTTCCTCCATTTAAAAGTTTGGAATGTCGT